CGTGGCATCGTCCCCAGCTTCCGGGGTTTTAGGGAGTTCAGGGATTTTGGGGTTTAGAGGGCTTAGAGGGTTTAGAGATTTTTAGGGTTTAGAGTGTTTCCAGGGTTTAGACGGTTGAGGGTTTAGAGGTTTAGAGGGTTTAGTGGGGTTTTTAGGGTTTAGAGGGTTTTGAGGGTTTAGACGGTTTAGAGGGATTAGATGGTTTAGAGGGATATTTGCATCTTCACCCTCCGCAGCTAAGAATACCCGGGAGCACTGTGTCCCTTGTTTTTCCTCCGTACGGAGAAGTTGTGGCCTTTTTCTCCACATCTTTTCGCGGGCAGGCCCCGCAAGGTGGGAAGCACTGGCTTTGTGCATTTTTATTGTGGCGGGAGGGTTCCGCAAGGAGAAGTTGTGGCTGTTTTCTCCACATCTGGAAGCGCTGGCTTTGTGCACTTTTATTGGCCCTTTTTTGCACGTCGGTGGGCAGGAGCACTGGTTTTGCGCACTCTTGTTCTGGCAGGAGGGGGAAATTGTGGCCTTTTTTCCGCATCGGTGGGCAGGAGCACTGGTTTTGCGCACTTTTGTTTCTGGCAGGAGGGGTAAATTGTGGCCTTTTTTTCTGCATGGGTGGGCAGGAGCACTGGTTTTGCGCACTTTTGTTCTGTCAGGAGGGGGAAATTGTGGCCCTTTTTTTCCACATCGGTGGGCAGGAGCACTGGTTTTGCGCACTTTTGTTCTGACAGGAGGGGGAAATTATGACCTTTTTTTCCACATCGGTGGGCAGGAGCACTGGTTTTGCGCACTTTTGTTCTGTCAGGAGGGGGAAGTTGTGGCATTTTTTTCCACATCGGTGGGCAGGAGCACTGGTTTTGCGCACTTTTGTTCTGTCAGGAGGGGTAAATTGTGGCCTTTTTTTCCACATCGGTGGGCAGGAGCACTGGTTTCGCGCACTTTTGTTCTGTCAGGAGGGGGAAATTGTGGGCTTTTTTTCCACATCGGTGGGCAGGAGCACTGGTTTTGCGCACTTTTGTTCTGTCAGGAGGGGGAAATTGTGGCCTTTTTTTCCGCATCGGTGGGCAGGAGCACTGGTTTTGCGCACTTTTGTTCTTGCAGGAGGGGGAAATTGTGGCCTTTTTTTCCACATCGGTGGGCAGGAGCACTGGTTTTGCGCACTTTTGCTCTGTCAGCAGGGGTAAATTGTGGCCCTTTTTTCGACATCGGTGGGCAGGAGCACTGGTTTTGCGCACTGTTGTTCTGTCAGGAGGGGGAAATTATGGCTTTTTTCCACATCGGTGGGCAGGAGCACTGGTTTTGCGCACTTCTGTTCTGTCAGGAGGGGGAAATTGTGGCCTTTTTTTCCACATCGGTGGGCAGGAGCACTGGTTTCGCGCACTTTTGTTCTGTCAGGAGGGGGAAATTGTGGGCTTTTTTTCCACATCGGTGGGCAGGAGCACTGGTTTTGCACACTTTTGTTCTGTCAGGAGGGGGAAATTGTGGCCTTTTTTTCCACATCGGTGGGCAGGAGCACTGGTTTCGCGCACTTTTGTTCTGTCAGGAGGGGGAAATTGTGGCATTTTTTTCCACATCGGTGGGCAGGAGCACTGGTTTTGCGCACTTTTGTTCTGTCAGGAGGGGTAAATTGTGGCCTTTTTTTCCACATCGGTGGGCAGGAGCACTGGTTTCGCGCACTTTTGTTCTGTCAGGAGGGGGAAATTGTGGGCTTTTTTTCCACATCGGTGGGCAGGAGCACTGGTTTTGCGCACTTTTGTTCTGTCAGGAGGGGGAAATTGTGGCCTTTTTTTCCGCATCGGTGGGCAGGAGCACTGGTTTTGCGCACTTTTGTTCTTGCAGGAGGGGGAAATTGTGGCCTTTTTTTCCACATCGGTGGGCAGGAGCACTGGTTTTGCGCACTTTTGCTCTGTCAGCAGGGGTAAATTGTGGCCCTTTTTTTGACATCGGTGGGCAGGAGCACTGGTTTTGCGCACTGTTGTTCTGTCAGGAGGGGGAAATTATGGCTTTTTTCCACATCGGTGGGCAGGAGCACTGGTTTTGCCCACTTCTGTTCTGTCAGGAGGGGGAAATTGTGGCCTTTTTTTCCACATCGGTGGGCAGGAGCACTGGTTTTGCGCACTTTTGTTCTGTCAGGAAGGGGAAATTGTGGCCTTTTTTTCCACATCGATGGGCAGGAGCACTGGTTTTGCGCACTTTTGTTCTGTCAGGAGGGGTAAATTGTGGCCTTTTTTTCTGCATGGGTGGGCAGGAGCACTGGTTTTGCGCACTTTTGTTCTGTCAGGAGGGGGAAATTGTGGCCTTTTTTTCCACATCGGTGGGCAGGAGCACTGGTTTTGCCCACTTTTGTTCTGTCAGGAGGGGGAAATTGTGGCCTTTTTTTCCACATCGGTGGGCAGGATTGGGCAGGAGCACTGGTTTTGCGCACTTTTGTTCTGTCAGGAGGGGGAAATTATGGCCTTTTTTTCCACATCGGTGGCAGGAGCACTGGTTTTGGCTTTTTTGTTCTGTCAGGAGAGAGTTTTTTTCGACATCGGTGGGCAGGAACACTGGTTTTGCGCACTTTTGTTCTGTCAGGAGGGGGAAATTGTGGCCTCTTTTTCCACATCGGTGGGCAGGAGGGGGAAATTGTGGCCTTTTTTTCCACATCGGTGGGCAGGAGCACTGGTTTTGCGCACTTTTGTTCTGTCAGGAGGGGGAAATTGTGGTCTTTTTTTTCCACATCGGTGGGCAGGAGCACTGGTTTTGCACACTTTTGTCCTGTCAGAAAGGGGAAATTGTGGCCTTTTTTTCCACATCGGTGGGCAGGAGCACTGGTTTTGCGCACTTTTGTTCTGTCAGGAGGGGGAAATTGTGGCCTTTTTTTCCACATCGGTGGGCAGGAGCACTGGTTGTGCGCACTTTTGTTCTGTCAGGAGGGGGAAATTGTGGCCTTTTTTTCTGCATGGGTGGGCAGGAGCACTGGTTTTGCGCACTTTTGTTCTGTCAGGAGGGGGAAATTGTGGCATTTTTTTCCACATCGGTGGGCAGGAGCACTGGTTTTGCCCACTTTTGTTCTGTCAGGAGGGGGAAATTGTGGCCTTTTTTTCCACATCGGTGGGCAGGATTGGGCAGGAGCACTGGTTTTGCGCACTTTTGTTCTGTCAGGAGGGGGAAATTATGGCCTTTTTTTCCACATCGGTGGGCAGGAGCACTGGTTTTGCCCACTTTTGTCCTGTCAGGAGGGGGAAATTGTGGCCTTTTTTTCCACATCGGTGGGCAGGAGCACTGGTTTTGCGCACTTTTGTCTGTCAGGAGGGGGAAATTGTGGCCTTTTTTTCGACATCGGTGGGCAGGATCACTGGTTTTGCGCACTTTTGTTCTGTCAGGAGGGGTAAATTGTGGCCTTTTTTTCCACATCAGTGGGCAGGAGCACAGGTTTTGCGCACTGTTGTTCTGTCAGGAGGGGGAAATTGTGGCCTTTTTTCCACATGGGTGGGCAGGAGCACTGGTTTTGCGCACTTTTGTTCTGTCAGGAGGGGGAAATTGTGGCCTTCATGTCCACATCGGTGGGCAGGAGCACTGGTTTTGCGCACTTTTGTTCTGTCAGGAGGGGGAAGTTGTGGCCTTTTTTCCCACATCGGTGGGCAGGAGCACTGGTTTTGCGCACTTTTGTTCTGTCAGGAGGGGGAAATTGTGGCCTTTTTTTCCACATCTGTGGGCAGGAGCACTGGTTTTGCGCACTTTTGTTCTGTTAGGAGGGCTTTATTTCCACATCGGTGGGCAGGAGCACTGGTCTTGCGCACTTTTGTTCTGTCAGGAGGGGGAAATTGTGGCCTTTTTTTCCACATGGGTGGTCAGGAGCACTGGTTTTGCGCACTTTTGTTCTGTCAGGAGGGGGAAATTGTGCCTTTTTTTCCACATCGGTGGGCAGGAGCACTGGTTTTGCACACTTTTGTTCTGTCAGGAGGGGGAGATTGTGGCCTTTTTTTCCACATCGGTGGGCAGGAGCACTGGTTTTGTGCACTTTTGTTTTGTCAGGAGGGGGAAATTGTGGCCTTTTTTCCCACATCGGTGGGCAGGAGCACTGGTTTTGCGCACTTTGTTCTGTCAGGAGGGGGAAATTATGGCTTTTTTCCACATCGGTGGGCAGGAGCACTGGTTTTGCCCACTTTTGTTCTGTCAGGAGGGGGAAATTGTGGCCTTTTTTTCCACATCGGTGGGCAGGAGCACTGGTTTTGCGCACTTTGTTCTGTCAGGAGGGGGACATTGTGGCCTTTTTTTGCACATCGGTGGGCAGGAGCACTGGTTTTGCGCACTTTTGTTCTGGCAGGAGGGGGACATCTTTCCACATCGGTGGGCAGGAGCACTGGTTTTGTGTACTTTTGTTTCTGGCAGGAGGGGGAATTGTGGCCTTCATGTCCACATCGGTGGGCAGGAGCACTGGTTTTGCGCACTTTTGTTCTGTCAGGAGGGGGAAATTGTGGCCTTTTTTTCCACATCGGTGGGCAGGAGCACTGGTTTTGCGCACTTTTGTTCTGTCAGGAGGGGGAAATTGTGGCCTTTTTTTTCCACATGGGCGGGCAGGAGCACTGGTTTTGCGCACTTTTGTTCTGACAGGAGGGGGGAATTATGGCCTTTTTTTCCACATCGGTGGGCAGGAGCACTGGTTTTGGGCACTTTGGCCTTTTGTTCCACATCGGTGGGCAGGAGCACTGGTTTTGAGCACTCGTTTTCTGGCAGGAGGCCCTTTTTTTGCGCATCGGTGGGCAGGCAGCACAGGCCTTTTTGCATTCTGCCCAACCAAAGTTGCGTAGAGCAGCTGTTTTCGCAGCAAAGCTGCCATTGCAAAGTGACAAGTTGGAGTAGAATGGAGCGAAGCTTGCGCCAGCCACGCAGAGTTGCTGATGCAACTCGTGCCAGGCGTAAGCATCTTCAAGCAAGTGCTGTGTCAGCTTTGCGTTTGCTCCCTCGCTCCCCCCCCACTTTGCACGACCACTACAGCAAGCAAACCGTGCACCCGCTGCCGCATGTGCGAGGTGCTGGGAATGCCTATCACCGACCGGCAGGTGCGGAGAACTGGGTAATAGGGGGGCCTTCTAGGGTTTAGGGTTTAGGGTTTAGGTTTTAGGTTGTACTCTCATCACCCCCCAAAGCCCTCTTCTAGTTCTTAGGGCCCCTGTAGTACTCCCAGTGGCTTTTGCTTTGGGCTTTCAGGAGCAGCATACGCTTACTGGTTTTCAGTTTTGAGGGCCCTGGATCTTTACAAGAACGTCCCTATCAAGCAATATGAAAATCAGGTTCAGAGGCCCCAAAGCTACCCTACCTCTAAACAACCCCGAGCCTTTTTCTGTTGCTTCTTCCTTTAAAGCATCTTTATAGAATTCTTGGGTAGCCTACAAAATAGGCAGGCTTTGGGTTCAAAGGGTAGTTTTGGAGATGAAACATCTCGAGCTCGGCCTGCCGTTTCTGGGATTTCTGGGGGGTTTCGCCGGGCGACTTTGCCTTCAACTTTCAGCCATGTCAGCCCAGTACTTGTAGAGGCGCAGGTAGGGTTTAGGGAGTTTAGGGACTAGGGTTCCTTCTTCCCTGCTTTTGCGCCGATCTGAAGCTTTAAGCCCAAACTCTGCCGCCACGACATCCGCTGGACGCCAAGCGGAACGCGGGTGCTTCGGGACTGCCCGCAGCTCTGCGCGCGGAGGGGCCGTCGCCGGAGCCCCCGTTGCTCTTTCCTTTTCGCTCTGTCTCTATCTTTTTTTAAAAAATTTTTACAATGCAAGAAAGGGCGTGGCGTCCCCTTTGAGAAGTGCAAGAATGTAATCTCTGTTTCTTCGTTTCTTTTCTTTATGTATTTCTTTCTCTATCGACTGTCTCTCTCGCTCGCGGGCTATATGTGGGCTATATGTGAAGACATAACTTGTTGATGCTACGCGTCTTCTTTTCCGAAAATGAGGGGCCCCTAATATAAACCCAACATAGTAGGACTCCCTTATAACAAGGACCGCAAGAAGGTAGCCCTAGTATCGTAAACCCTCATATATGTATACATATCCCTGAACCCTCAACCTCGAACCCTAAACCCCAAACCCCAAACCCCAAACCCCAAACCCCAAACCCCAAGCCCTAAACCCTAAACCCTAAACCCTACACCTCGACACACATGGAGAGCTCTGGCGCAGGCGCAGCGCACGCCCCGCACGCCCCGCACGCCCCGAGACGAGGCGGCCGAGCCCCCAAACCCTAAGAAGGTTTAGGGTTTAGGGTTTAGGGTTTAGGGTTTGGGGTTTGGGGTTTGGGGTGTGGGGTTTAGGGTTAGTCGGTCAACTCGGACCACCCCAGACCTGAGACCTTGCGGTAGCAGCAGGATCTTTTCTTAAGAAGCCCAAGCCTACATTGTAGGTTCTCACGATAAAGCCCAGTATCGGGATCTTAGGTAACCTACAAAAAGGTAGGTTCGGGGTTCTTCGGGCTTGGGCCAATGAAGAGTGCGTAGGACGTGGAGCTTCAAGTTTGATGAAGTTGAAGATGGGGTGATGTTTCAGGACTCGGGCGCGCCAGAAAGCAAAGACGGGGGTGTTTTCGCGGGCAGAATTCCTGGCTAGGCCCTCGGGATTTTTTGATTGGGTTTCAGAGGATCATGTGTCGGAGTATTTTTCAGAGGCTTTAAAGGGCCAACCTACTAGATTCTGTTTTCGAGGTGCTGACCTCTCAGGCAAGCCTCATGAGCCCTACACCCTAAACCCTAAACCCTAAACCTAAACGCTAAACGCTAAACCCCAAACGGTAAGCCCTAGACCCTAAACCCTAAACCCTAAGCCCTCAGCCCTAATCCCTAATCCCTAAACCCTGGCTCTGCCAAGGATAAGCCGCAGTCGCCGCAGTGCATGACCAGCGACCCTGCTAAACATGAGCGAAGGGACTTTCCAGAGACTCCCATACCCCTTACTCAGGGAAGATGCCTGAAACCATACAAGGAACCCTCTTATACTTGAAGGAATGTTCCTTAGTTATGTTAATTATACCCCGGAGTCCCCGGGTTTCGAGCATTCAGAGGATCAGTGTTCTTGCTGCAAGGCTTGGGGGCTTGGATTTCTGGGCTCTGGCGCTACGAAGGTCCATGTCTTGTTTTGTTGAGGACGGTCCCGAAGCCCAAAGGGCCCCAAGCCGGTTTAAGGTCGATCCTTTGAACCCTAAACCCTAAACCCTAAACCCTAAACCCTAAGCCCTAAGCCCTAAGCCCTAAGCCCTAAGCCCCAAGCCCCAAAGCCCCAAGGCGTTTAAGGTCGATCCTTTGCCGCGTGGGTCTAGGCACTTCGAGACCCGCGTGCGCCACATTTGAGGCCCCCCGTTACAAGTTCCGTTGCTCTCTCGAGGCGATTCCGAAGATCACGGAAGGAGTCCCCGGACACACATCCCCGTGAACTCCGAAACCCTCCCGCCACTTGCAGTAACAACCCTCAACCCTCAACCCTCAACCCTAAACCCCAAACCCTCAGCCCCTCCCTCTCCCCCTCGGAAACTTTCAAAGCAAACGCTGTGTGAAGCAGCAGAGGCCTTGGCCCTCAAATGGCGGGCCCCGAGCCGGAGGACGCCTCGGAGGGTCACGTGGGGGCTGTTTAGGGTTTGGGGCTTGGTGTTTTAGAGTTTAGGCTTTTGGGTTTAGGGTCTATGGAGGTTAGGGGTTAGGGTGTTTGGAGTTTAGGGTTTAGGGTTTGGGGGGGGGGGGGGGGTTCTGCAACAAGGGTTCTACTGCTTTGGGCGGCATACGAGGGGCACCCCAGTTCGGGGAAATGTTACCCAGGAGTGCGCTGTTGAGTTTAGGATGAGAAACTTGTGCCCCTGGCCCAGGAGTCGGGTGCAGTGAGCCTTTCGAAGCCGGCCGACGCTGAGGCAGGGCTAGCTTGATGATGTTGCTTCAGCCTGTGGGCGCCGCCCAAGAAGTCCACCTTGCCGGCGTCTTGTCGTTTTTGCCCCTAAACCCTGAACCCTAAGCCCTGAGCCCCAAGCCCTAAGCCCCAAGCTCTAAACCCTAAACCCTAAGCCCTAAACACTAAACCCTGCACCTCCCTTCCTCCCCATTTCTGGGTCACTTCTTTGTCCGTCCAGAATCTGCGCCCTACCCCCGAGTTGCATCGTTGGGGTGTCTTCGAGGCGTTCCTTGCTATGCCCGAGCTTGGTGCCCCTGAATGTCCGATATTTGGGCTTGGAAACCCTACACCTCCCAAACCTTCAACCCTAAACCCCAAAAACCCTAAAACACCCCCTTGAATCCCCTTCCCCCCGCCCTCCCCTCCCCCCCTCCCCCCCAAAAACCAGTTGAAGCGAGAGGCGGCCGCCGCAGAGATGTTCCCGGACTCGGATGCAGAGGTCCCCCCAGTTCATTTTGGAGTTCGGAGAGTTCGGGGCTTTCACCTGGGCGGTTGCTCGGAGTGTCTTGTTGCGCAGATTTTTGCTTTCATCCTCAGTGCCAGAGAGGCAAAATCTAAGGTTTAAGGTACGCAAAATACAGACTATATGCATATATAGTGCAAAATATAACAAGAATATATATATATATATATATATATATATGGTTCAGCCCCGGCGGGCCCCCCCCCCCCCTCCCCCCCCCCCCCCCCCCCCCAATGGTACCCCCCCCCCCCCCCTGTGGTGTGGTTGGGGGTTGGTTTTAGGGTTTTAGGGTTTAGGTTTAGGGTTTAGGGTTTTAGGGTTTTAGGGTTTTAGGGTTAGGGTTTAGGGTTTAGGGTTTAGGGTTTAGGGTTTAGGGTTTAGGGTTTTAGGGTTTAGGGTTTAGGGTTTAGGGTTTTCCCCGCGGATGGGGTACTAAGATGATCCCCCCCCCCCTGTGGTGTGGTTGGGGGTTGGTTTTAGGGTTAGGGTTTAGGGTTCAAGGTTTTAGGGTTTAGGGTTTAAGGTTTAAGACTTAAGGTTTAGGGTTTAGGGTTAGGGTTTAGGTTTTAGGGTTTAGGGTTTAGGGTTTAGGGTTTAGGGGTTTAGGGTTTAGGGTATAGGGTTTAGGGACCGTAGAGTAGGCTTGGGGGGGGGGGGGATACCATGGGGGGGGGGGGGGGGCCAGGACGCTCGACGCTGAACCATATATACACACACAATTCTTGTATTGTATTGCATTAAATTAGATTAGATTATTAGATTCGATTATAGATATATGGGTGTCGTTCCTTGAGTTTGCCATGGTGCAACTCTACCAGCTACAGGGGCTCCACCCCTGGCCTAGCCAGGTTACAAGAGTGGCATGTTGTTTCTACACCAGTTGTGCGTTTGTGTGTGTGTGTGCGTGTGTGCAGACCGGCTTCTTGAGTTAGTACAGCTTCAGTCGTAGCCCGACTTAGACATCGATCACAAGTACCCCTGGCTCAGATGGCCACAGCGGTGGCGAAGCAAGCCTCCAAGACGTCTCACCTTTCGGCGAAGGCGCGGAAAGAACACCTCCCAAAAACCTGACAGAAGAAGCAGGCGTTGGCCCAAGCCCGGCAGTTCCCAACCCTAGCCCAGACTGTCTCAAGGTCTCTGGGTGTAGTCAAGAGTGAATCCCTCCCTAACCCCCCCATCGCCCCCCCTCCCTCCCCCTAACCCCCTCCTTTTCAGGGGAACCAAAACTCAACAGCAACTGCTGCCATAGCGGATCTTCCGCCGCTTGTTGCCAGGTGGCCCACGGATCCCATGGCCACACGGAGCTCTTCACCGGGCCAGGGCCTCCAAACCACTGGGGGTTTACGACATGAGGGGTCCCTTATCGGTGTTTTTTTAAAGTTTTTACCAGGGCATCCTGATTATAAGGGGATCCTGCTATTTGGGGATCTAATCTTGGGGGTCCCCTATTCTTCGTACACACCCGACCGGAGGGAGTTGGGTGTTTCGATGGCTTTCGGGTTCAGGGTTGCTCTCTTGCGTCGGCTGCTCAGACTCGAAGATGTCAAAAGTTTTTCTGTTCAGGGCTTCTTGGTATTTCCTCAGCCCTGAACTCCTAACTCCTAAACCCTAAGCCCTAAACCTTTAAACCCTAAACCCTAAACCATCAAAGCCCCCAAGTGCCAAGGCTTTCAGTACTCGGGAGGGCTGCCATGGCGCGCACAGACCTAAAAGCTGCAGTCGACCCCCCCCGTAGATCCAACTAAGCTTCGAAACCATGTTCAAGGGTTCAGGGTTTAGGGTTCAGGGTTCAGGGTTTAGGGTTTAGGGTTTAGGGTTTAGGGTTTAGGGTTTAGGGTTTCACGTTTACAAGGGTGTATGGTTTGGGGTTAGGGTCCACCGGCCCGCTATGTAAGGTACCCCCATAGCCAACGTCACCCAAACCCGGACGCGTTCGGGTACCCCGAGTTTGGGAGAATGTCCTTCCCACTTGAGCACCTGGTGCAGGGTTTTTCTTTTTTTGGGAAAGCCCGAAACCCGAAGCCCGAAGCCTTAAGCCCTAAACCCTAAACCCTAAACCCTAGACCCTAGACCCTAGACCCTAGACCCTAAACCCTAAACCCTAAACCCTAAACCCTAAACCTTAAACCCTAAACCCTAAGCCCTAAACCCTAAACCCTAAACCCTAAACCCTAAACCCTAAACCCTAAACCCTAAACCCTAAACCCTAAACCCTAAACCCTAAACCCTAAACCCTAAACCCTAACCCTAAGCCCAAACCCTAAACCCGCTTCCCAGGCCAAGCCTCTGGTTGCAGCAGCCCGTGGCCCAAATGTTGTGAGGAACGTGAGAGGGTGAGCGGAGTGCGCAGACTTCGGGGCTCTGTGTTTCTCTCTGATTCTCGTATTGATGCTTTGTGGGGTTAAATAGGAAACCACATATACATGTATATAGGCTTTCCGAGATTCAGGTTTTCAGGTTGCTCTAGGACACAGAGCCTAAACCCCCCCAAAAAACGCCAAGGCCCGAAACACTTTACCACAAGACCCCAAGTGCCAGACGGGTTCCAAACTCTGTAGGCCGTCTAAACCCAAACTCTCTTGCCTTTGAGCCCTACATCCCGTGAACTCCCCAGCCAAGCCGACCGTGAGCCGGGATTTTTGTTTGGAAGCTTCCGCGTTCATGGCAGCAAAGGGTCTGATGTGTTCGATGTCTCGGTGCTGCAGCCGAGCGCCGCAATCGCAGAAAAAAAGGCAGAGAGATCCGACGAAACAAGACGGCCCGGCGCTTTGCCCGCATCGGAAGTTTGGACTGGAAGAACCGAGCCACCCAGCCAAGACCTGGACTAAGGCGAACTTCAACTTCCTGAGCCCCCTCTCCCCCCCCTAACCCTAAACCCTAAGCCCTAAGCCCTAAGCCCTAAGCCCTAAGCCCTAAGCCCTAAGCCCTAAGCCCTAAGCCCTAAGCCCTAAGCCCTAAGCCCTAAGCCCTAAGCCCTAAACCCTAAACCCTATGCGGAGCTGCAACTGGTATTGTAGAAAAGAGTTAGTGTTGAGAGTTGGAAGGGTTAATGAACCCGGAAAACATGTTTGGCTCAAGATGGGCTTGAACAGAAAGCCACAAGTTCAAAAAGTAGTGCCTGGGTTCTTAGGGTTTGGTAAGGGTGTGGATTCCTTCCCCCTTTCCTTCCCCCCTGGGTTGCTCTTATCCGTGTTCTTGTTTGTTTCTTGGTTCGATCTGGGGAATATAGGTTCAGGGCGATTAGGGGAGTTGATTTCCTTCCTTGGTTGTCCCCCCGTAGGTTATGAGCCCAAATTAGGTTCCCTGCGGTTAAGTGTTCTTTCAAGGTTTTTGGGATCAAGAAGCAATGCCTTCTCCCAAACGATGGCTCCAGCCTTCCTCGGATGGTGGACAGAATGGTGGAGCTGGAAACGGTGCAGCTGAGTCTCTGGGTGAAAGGACGGTGCTGGAAGAGGTGATGCCTGGCGCTGAAGAACATCTGGAAGAAGCCTTGGTTGCAGAATACTCCAATGTGGGTATAAATCCCAATGTGGATATGGTTAGCAATGCTGAAGCTGAAGGACGTGCTGTTTCTGTATCGCCAAAGCCTGGTGAAAAAAGGAGCTGGGACGCGACTGGTGGTATAGACCGTGAAATGGAGGTGACTGTTTTACGCGTGTTGCACAAACATGGGTATCAGCCGTCTACTTCGACTTCGGGCCGAATGATAGACCAAGGGTCTCAGACCAATCTGAGTGGAGAAGTGCTGCAAGCTGCCAGGAGGCCTCTGAACAAGATTAAAGGGGATCCCTCGGCGAGTTGCCTGGGTGGTGGAAGCGGTTACGAACAGAAGGGTGCGGCCAGCTTTGAAGCCGCGCCAACTGCTGAATATGCCATGGGGGAAGAGGAGATCTTACAGATGGAGGCTGAAAGGTTGCGCCAGTTGTCAGAAGAAGAGGATGAGATGCGTCAAGTCTCTGAAAGGGATGGTTTTCGGAAAGATGAGCATCTGATCGAAGCGTGCGATGGGACAACGTGGGAATGGCACTTCCACGAAGATGGGAGACAATATTACTACTGCCTGGATACGCAGGAAAGCAAGTGGACGCTGCCGGATGTAGGGGAAAAGGTGAAAAGCGACAACGTGGTTGGGTCTCCTTCGGGCAATGGGCTGGAAGTGGAGACTGAACTGGGTCCTTCATCGACTACACCGACACCTGAGTCTACGAAGGCAATCCAGGGTAGTGTAAATAGTGTAGGTGAAAAAGATTTTTCCTCTACTATCAGGGATAGCGGTCCTAGGGCTGGTGGTGACGCCCCGACCTCGGGTTCTCCTGATGAAGAGGGGATTTCTGGAAACCGAGCAGACATCGCTGAAGCTCAACATCTGGATCGGGAAGAGATGGAGGCGCTTTCTGAGGGTGTGGCAGCGGTGGAATCGGTGGGTCCAGAAGAAAAAATGCCCAATGTGGAGATCGGAATTGTGTCGGCTGCAGAAGAGCGAGTGGTGGATGTGGTGCCTGTCGTTCAGGAAGATGGCCCTGGAGATTTGGATGACGAAGGGAAAAAGTTGTGCATTACGACTGAGGAGGTCTCTTCGTTTGGTGCCGAGAATTCTGCCATTCAAAGGGAAAAGGAAACTTCTGAAACTGCTGGAGACACGGTTGATCGGAAAGATGAGGCCTGGAGCGCCAATGAAGCGCGGGTCAACGCGCCAGATAGTACCTGGAGTGCAGAAAAAGCACGGGTTGAGGCGCATATGGTGTCACGTTCCGCGGATGACTGCAACAATGGGGCGCAGGTCTCCGTAGCAGCTGACGATGGAGGTTCACAGGTGGACGCACTGGTGCAGCCTGAAGTTAGCAGCGAGGAACGAAATGGCGAAGGCTACACCGGAGCCAATGAGGCAGCTGTGGTCAATAACAGTGGTGATTCTCTTTTGGAAACCATGGAGCCAAAGGAGCCTGCGGTGGAAGAAAATGTGCCTACCGCGGATGACCAATCCAATAGCCCTGTAGTGGAAGAAAATTTGCCTGCTGCAGAAGGTTTGAAAAAGGACTCCAATGGTGGGTCCACTCCCAGGAAGGGAGAGGTGTTGCCATCTGAAAGCTCGCCGGAAGTCGACACCGAGCGAACTGTAACGGATGAGGCAAAGCCATTGGCTGGAAAAAAGGAAGATCCTGAGCCCTTGGAGCACAAGATGGATGATCTTGTGGGACTCACGTCGGAGCAGGACGAGCAGTGTGACCCAAAGGTGGAAATAAAGGATGTGCCAGGAGCCGATGATACAGAGATGGTTTCTGAAGGGCATGCAAAGAGAGTGCCCCGAGCGGGAGCTTTGGAATCACCTGGGGAACATTGCTATCAGGAGGGAGATGAGATCATTGGTCTAGTGCGCTGCATCAATGGGTATGGAGCCTTTTTGGACCATGGTGATATGAATGTATTGGTTCCTGCAGAAGGGAACAATGTACATCAGTTCAAATTTGGTGATACTGTCAATGGAACAGTGAAACGAGTGGAAGATGATGGTACCATAATCTTGGACACCTTTCTGGTTTTGGAAGAGGACGAGGAGGATTCCTCTTCAACGCTGCGCAAATGGAAAGACAGCGGCTGGGGTACATGGTGGACAGGCTCATGGCAGACTGGTCAATGGTACAAAGGTTCCGATGGTCAATGGGACTGGAAGTCGGAAGAACAGCAGTCTCGCGAGTGGTTTGCCGAGTCAAAAGCATCCTCTAAGGAACAAGAGGAGGCTGAGCAGAAACAGCTCTATGGAAAAAAGATCTATCGAAATCTCCTGGAAGATGAAACAATAGATAATGACTATGTGGGCAAAATCACTGGGATGTTGCTGAGTCGTCCAATGGACGTGATTATGGAGTGTATCGCAGATCATACATTCCTGAACGTTGAGGCTCGGAGCGCATACAACATCTTGCTAAGTGATGGTTGGAAGCCTGAGGAGACAGACAGTGCAGGTTCGGAAAAAACAACCACTTTTTCCCGGAAGCAGTACCACAACGCGCTCTACGAACTGGCACGCAAGAAAAGAAGATTTAGTGGACCAGTCGTGGGTGAAACGGTGGCAATGTTGCTGAGCAAAGGGAAAGATGAGCTTTGGAACGAGCTGTGGTTGGATACCAAGCGATTTCTGCAAGAGCTTGATGGTGCAATCGAGGAGATGAGTAAGAGGGAAAACAGGCCAATGGAAGCCTACATGGATCCTGATCAGTACAAAAAGGCTCACACGACTCCGAAGACTGTGTCACCTGGATACAGCAAGCTGTGCAAGTTCTTCAATCAAGGGAGGTGTCGAAATGGAGATGGGTGTTCCTATGAACATCGTCGTTATGGTGAAGGGTGGCCTGAAGGAGAGCCAACTGAGCCAAAGAACAGCCAAAAAACTGGTGACGAGGATGGGGACATCGGTGGCCCTCCAACTGATGAAGGTACAGTGGATGAGGTGCAGCAGGAGCGGGAGGATTCGGCCTTCCGTGCCCAGTACAACTATGGCAAAGGGACATCAAAAGGTGAGCCTACGCTGGGTGAAACGAAGAAACGGCTGTGTCTGTATTACAATCAAGGTGGTTGTAAATACGGGACTGCGTGCAGGTATCTCCACGACGATGACATGGCATTGGAAGGGACTTGGGAGCCTGGCAAATCTTGGGACAATGCTTCCAGGAAGGCACTAAGGGACGCGGGGTTCCACCATTGCTGTTTCGACTACTATCTCAAAGGGAGATGTCGTGTGCGATTTGGCTGCAAGTATTCTCACGAAGAAATGTCTGAAGACCGGCTGGCCCAGTTGAAGCATCTGGTGAATGTGGCGAACCATGTGTCATTTCAAAGGGGAAGGGGATTGGAGATTCCCGACAGGAACGCTTTTCAACCACCGGTAAGTGGGGGAGCAGAATCTTCGTCCTCCTCGGCACCAAAAGCGCTGCAAATGACCAATGTGTCACAAAAAGATGGTGAAAAGGGTATTCTGGATGAAGAAGAAGCTGATGAACAAAAGAATTCGGTGGCTGAGTCCACTGGTACTCTGCTTCAAGATCCAGAGGAGCCAATTGAAAATTGGATGGCTCGCAATAAACACCTTTGGGTGTATACCCCTCATGTAAGTGAGGTGATGATTACTCTTGGTGTGAACACCGTGTCGGACCTGCAGGAGTTCATCTTTGTGGAAGATCTGCTTGAAAAAGGGATCAACAAGGTGACAGCATGCAAAATCCTACGATTGGTGGGAGGCGTCCGATATCGACCGGAGGGACCGGAAAAAGCAGTTCCTTCCGATGCATCTGTACGGGTACAACAATCTTCTGGAAGCAAGGA